ATTCTGCTGACAGACTGGTTACTACCAGGATTACATACATAAATTTTGGCAGCCTTTGGTTGCCGGTGGTCAAATCAATGTTGTTGTTGTCATAACATCACTGTTGACTTTTCTGCTGGCCGCTTGCGCTTTTGGTGTTATTTGGAAGCGGCACTGATGGCGATAATAGTCGTTCGAGATATGGCGACAGCGATTCAATCTGCCCATTGCAACATCTTCGTAGGTTTAGGTCGCCACTGCCACGTATATAGGCAGAAGCTTGGAAGGATGGCAGGACGGTAAACAAAGGAGTACGGGGTGCTCAAGAACCGCGAGGAGTCGTGTCCACTCAAATAGTTAAATAGAAGAGTTCGAAGGCCGGTCGGTCATTCATCTAAAAGGTCAGCACGTCAGGGCTGAAAGGAAGAGGATTGGTGAACAAGCATCGTCGACACGATAGCGGCGATGGGTGGTTGGTCGCGAACCAGCCAACGACTAAGGTCTTGACTGCCTACCTGCTTCCTCTCTTGCCTACCTGCTCCCTTGCTTGCCTACCTGCCCCTTGCCTGCCTGCCTGCCCGCCTCGTCGCTCGTCTGACGTCCTACCGGCTGATGTCTTGGGAGCTAGGCAAATGGCGGCCAAGTCACTTCCTCGCTGCCACTCGAAGATAAGAAATATGACGAAAACACACCACTGAGCGAGAGGAGGACGCTAGGTGAGTCTCCGTTGCATCAGAGCCTGCAGGATAAGCACAGCCTGAGCCAGGCGTTACCGCCTTGGCTACGATGACGACTATTTCTGCCAACGAGTTGAAAGCATGGGTATTGATCTTCGGACGATAAAGAATTGGGTCGAGACATTGAGTGTGCATTAGGTGTTCAGTGCGATTACGGTTTGCCGTGGCAGCTGAACGGCATTTAGCCGCCGGCAAAGAAAAGGTGCAACGAAAACCACGAATGATCGGAGAAGAAGAACGAGTGTCTAGAGTGGGAAGTGCGAAAAAGGCCGTCGCCTGTTGGCAGCTTGTTCTCCATCTACTTACAAGGATATTTGTCAAAATTGTGCGCAGCCCCACTCAGAGAAAATAACTCTGGGGTTGGCTTGACTGGGCCTCGCTTGATTCGGCTCATCACATAGAAAGTAGCAGTAATAGAGCATTTCTGCAGGAAAAGCATATGCAATGCAGAAAGGATGCATCATTTCGTGATATGAATTATACTTATTACCATTAATGATGCCGGGCGCTTTTAAAATATGGATTGTATGAACTGAGATAATTATGTATGTACGTGCACGAATTACTGATTCGCTAATATAGATTAGGTTCAAAGAGGAGTCTGCTTATACAAGATCCTCTTTTGGTTAGATCATTTAAATTCGAATATTATACTATGGAATTGACCAGATTGTTTCGTTATGATACCTCAGTGTGCCGTAGTATGAGAATCTGTACATTTTTACGCGGCGAATTAACAAACGTCTATATAAAACGCAGGAACTGTGATCATGCAGCGGCCTAAAGCCGTCAATCAGCCGCCAAAATCGAAGTGATAAATAGATAGATGAAATATTACGAAATATCTTAAAGCTCTTGGTTATGAAATTTGGGTAAAACTAATATACTTGATTTGTGCGTAACCTGGATAGCGCACAAACAGGTAGTCAGAGTTATATACATATATATGTATACTACATTTTTTTGGTATTTAAGTATCCGTACATTACAGTAAGAATTGAATTTTCGTAACGGAATGATCGTACGAACTTCTATTGAAGCATTTTTGCTAGGATGGACCCTGATGTCATGCGATGCTATCAAAAGCAGTGTTCGTAGTGCAACAACTGCCGTTCGGCCCAACGTAACCAAAACGTTTACGATCACCTATTAACTTTGATGGCGTGTCCCCTCGAGTGATAAAGCCCAAGTGGCGTCAGGGCATTTGCTGCCGAAACAATGGCGCCCGTTTACGATGCAGTGGCCGACCGCTATCTCTAGCGTCATTTCGGGTTACAATCTGCTCTCGAGTTCTTCTTTTCCCTACTTGTTTGCCAATTTTCCAAATCAAAGCACGCTCTAACCGATGTCATTATGTTATCAAGCGTCTATCATTACTATTACTACATACAAGTCAAAACAAATCCTACGTTTTACCATTGCTGCCTTGCAGGGCCATAGCGTGGCAGACAACCTACACGTGCAACCATTGTAGCAATTATTATTATCATAATCATTACTCTTTATCGATCTTCGACAGTTTATTCATTGTAGCTTAATACATTGTTTGTTTATGGGCTGTATTATAAAACAATACCTGTCTTCAGTCACTTCACCACTGTGCATAGCCAGAACAATCGCTACTGCAATTGCTGGGGTATCAAGTGCTTCCATCGAGAATAGAACAGCAGGCCAATCTAATAGGCCAGCGAAGCTGACTGACAGACATCTAAAAGCGCGCTGACGAAGCAGCATAGTAACAACAACAACAACAACAACAACAACGTAACATAAATGCAAAGCAAAAATATATCATTTCCTAAAAGCACAGGCTTGCTCACTTACTAACGCGTCTCGTCACCACCGTTCATCTTCGATTAGGGCCGAACCGTTATCACGCCGAGGTTAAGGCGAAAACAACGACGACTGGATATTGACGGTTGACGCCGTAGCCCTAGGCAAGCTTCTTCGTCTGTCTCACTTCACATTACATTATATGGGATAAGTCGAGGACATAGCGCGATACGGTGAGACGGCGGAAGCCATCCGCACGAATAGCAAAGAGTATAAAGTCATTCGTGTCATCGTAGGCGTACCGTATGCATACATCAGCTGGCAGGCCCGCAAATACTTTAGACGTTCATCCGGCACTTGCTAAAGTTCATAGACTCCAGCAATCACAGCTCGAATAAGGTTGTTACAAACGGGTCAAGGGACGTTTCTGTCGCACCACAGTGGCCGTCAAGGCTGAGTGAGCTCTGAGAACCCGAGCTGCGTAGTGAGCACCGAGTCGATATCGAACAAGACCCACCGATCTAGCGATGACGAAACAGCAGGCAAACAGCGGTCGCTCGAATGGCAAGTCAGCTACGGCAATGAACAGTGACCAAAACCTTAAGTGACTCCACTTATGAGCTACTAAGATAACGTAGCTGCAGTGGTAACGTTGATGACGGCGCTGGTCTCATAATTCGACTGGAACATTTTCAGGAGCTCGGCACTTTGAACGTATATATATAGCTAGCAGCAGCAGCAGCAGAATGACCAGTGGGCACAGTTTGGTTACTATAAAGGGATGGCCGATTTGCGATATCAAGCCACACTTTGTAGTACACATACAGACACATAGCACTAATATAGTCGGTAATTCATTCTACAGGCCATACGGCGACAATCAGCAACAGCTTTGATAGTTGAAGAATTGTTCAGACTCAACGGGCCAATAGCCAGCCACTTGCGAGCTACTTGTGTGTGTGCGCGTATGTGTGTGTGTGTCTTGCCACCGTGGGCTCGCGCGGACGACCGAGTAGCCGGCTACCGGTGGACATCCACCCGAGTAGGACGGGTGGGTGCCCACCGATGCGCAAGAGATGTACTCTTCGACTCTCCAACTACAGTGGTGCCAGTAGTGATATGGTGAGCGGGTATGTGTATGTCCTTTACCACCATCAACGTACTGCTCGCGTCGTACATCATAACCTACTTGAACTGGTACGCTTGATCGCTTGCACAATGCAGGTAGGCCAGCTTGCTGACTGCTTCTGACTATGGAAACGACTGCAAGTCTAGCAAACCAAGCGCATGCAGCAGCGTACTGTTAGTGGCCAGTAGGCAATCCGTAGCCGGAACAACAAAAACAGATCAACCTGAGTGGCCTTTGCATTGCGTTCACCTTGCCCTTTTTCAAGTCCTTTGGTATGTTGTGGTCGTTTTTCAGTGGTCATTTCGTCCCGATGCCACCATGCTGACTGCGGCGGAGAGCAAAAACATGAACCGCTAGGAAAACTAAACAATGAAGCGTCTAAGAAACGCTACAGCAAAGAACACCGTGCCCATAAGCGCAACATAGCATTCATAGTACTACAACGGGAAAGAAGCAACAATATTCTCTACAGAAGCACTAATTGAATGCGACTCCGCTATTTCATTTCAACACATAAACGCGCGAAATATTTTTAGGCAGTAAGTCCGACCGTTGATCTGGAGCTTCAAATATTTGTGTCATAACCAGCTTTAAAAATAACTCATTCGGGGTAGACATAGGTACGCATATAGAGAGTGTAGCGGACGGTCGAGGCTTTGCGATGATATCAGGACAACAGGCCGTTGGCCTAGCTGCGCAAGAGGGCTGCTTCGAGTGCAGAAGCAGTAACAGAAGCAGCGGTCAGCACATGGGCACGATAACTACATATGAACGAATCGCCCCAGGCAATTGCAATAGTCGGCCTGTCGTTGACTTTAAAGAAATCAGATCGGCCAAGCAACCAGCAGGGCCGTTTTGGCAGCTGTGTTAATACATTCCTCGCTGAAATTTCTACGGACACGACACACCGAACCGCGTTCGATATAAGGAAAAAAGATCGTGCTTGCAGGCGAACAAGCAGTGGACGTACCGTTGTCCAACAACTTGACAGCGTCATTAGCGGTTAACTGCTCAAATCGTTTTGAGAAGACGATTTATTTTAGCTATGACTTCAGTTAATATCGTCAAGCTCGATCTTGATTTATTTTTTTCGCACGTGCTGAGTGTGTCATGCGCTTAAATCCGGTGTCGAGCCGGCAATCAATGCCGACATATACACTTTACTCAAACGCGTGATTCCAAAACTCGAGGAAGATGTCCACCAGAGGCTGGAACACGCAACGAACTATCTCGTATCATCTGGCTACAAGTTGTTGGCAGATGTAACATGAATAAAGCGTTTCTTCTTCTGTTCATCAATGGCAGACTCCATATGCTTCGAAGCTTAATTACACAGACTACTTTTTCTATTCATACACGTAGTTGTTTGGAATAGTACTTACCGGCCGGATTGGATGCGTAGCCTTTCATCCAGGGGTAGTAGGGGGAAATTGGGGTTTGCGAGGGATTCCCACCGGGATAACCGCCGCGCAGGGGGTCAGGACCCATTGGGTAACCAAGGTGCGGAGAATGTGCTGCTTCGAGTGCTCGGGGATCGAGGCCTTGAGGAGGAAAGCCTCGCCGGAGATCTCCGGGTATGGCTCCAGGTGGACCTCGAGGCTCGGCATCAAGCTCTGCTTTGCCTAGCGCTAGAGAACCTAGGCCAGGACTAGCTTTATCACCTGATTGCGGATTCGGAGAGAACTTTTTGTCGAGCGTCGGTTGCTGTTGCGCTCCCTGAGCTGCACCCGGACTACAGTTGCTGTAACCCCCAGAGGCGCCCACAAGATCGGCGTTGGCGCCAGCTTCACCTCGTTGAGGTGTTGGCAAAAGACGGTCTTCTCGGCCGTCACTCCGCGAGCTCAGATTCATGCCTGTACTTCCTGCGCTTGAACGGTTGGGATCTGACGGCGATCCGTACTTCTGATCGCTGTCAGAGTCGGATACTTCAGGAACTGACGGCGGATTGTGGTATACCCCAACGCTGCCGCTCAAGCTGCCAAGGCCCGCATGGCCACCAGGCTGTTGAGGTGGTGTGCCCGTTGAATAGTAAGCTAATCCCGGATAGTAGTTTCTATGGGTGGCCGACTGGTAGGCGCCAGATACGTCAGAACCTGAGGGTTCCCCCCAACCGAAGTAGGAGTTCATGTTGAGGCCGACGTGGCTTTGATTTGACGCTGGCGTCTTTTATAACTTCTGTGTACGCACTGACACACAAGTTGATGAGATTCTCTTGTCGATATTATTGACACCACACTTGCTGGATTTGTAGCTACTGCTGCTGTTATCGTCGTCACTGATCAATCAAACACCAAGTTATCACAGACGGAATAAATGACTGTAGATTACAACATTAGTATTAGTTTGATTATTAGTTCCAGTTCCAAAAGGATCGCTTCCGATAAGTGGACAACAATGGTTGGTCTTCCGTAAAGTTGGAGCAGTAGTTGGACTAATGATTGCACTGTTGAAAGCAGTGCTGTAGCAGCCTAAGGACTTTATTGCTAACTGACCGGTCGTTGCCGTTATTACTGCAAGCTCATTGACGTTAGTCGGGCTATGGATTTATTGTAGAGGTTGGCGGCCTGCAGGCCGAAGGCTGCCTAGGCTATAGGCTGCAAGCTGCAGTGCAGTCTCTGTGGACGGCGGCGTCACTGGACGCGCTGATGCTCTGCGCAAATCACACCACGCAGATGGCTTCACTACTTCGCTCACCGGCGATAATCACATGCGCAGTTTGCAAGCGAGCGGCCAGTGAGGCCAACTCCTCCGGACAGACTACAGACTAAAAACCCCACCGATAACACTGACTCTGGTAACTGTTATGGCCAATGAGTGGACATAGCCAGGAGGCAGGCAGCATATCAGAGAGGACGCTAGAACACTCCAAGCAATGATTTCTTATAACACTCCTTCCCGTTGCACGTTTCTTCTTTGTTCGTTCCAGCCGTCCTCAGGCTGTCTTTGACGGAAGGTCTCTAGCGAACAGCCGACGTATCTGCATCAAATCCTAGCCCACCTTGAGCCATCGAGGCACAATGACGCAACACAATGAACAACAAACTAGATGAAGTTGTAACAGCCACTTAATGATGGCAAAATCGAAGATACGTATAATCGAAAATGCCGAATTACGAATGTTATTAAAGGCACGCACTTACACAAACACTTCTCTTCCTTTCTTTCTACATATACGTATATAATATAAATACTTTTCTTGTATATGCGTAGCTCGATGGCACCTCGAGCTGTTTGAATCCTTTTGCTGCTGTTGTAGTCGTCGAACGAACTGGAGGGGAGTAGTAGTACTAGAATAAACAGGGCGCACTTCACTGTTACGTGTACGACAACACCTTGTTTTTCTTACTTTTGCTATAATGCTATAAATATGCACATATGCATCTTTCCTGACGGTAACCAATCGATTGCTTTTTAAAGTCGTGTTTTATTATATATCAATGCATAGGGCCTTTCGCACTAGCTGTTGATAACAATAGTCGTGTTGTTGTTGTCGTCGTTGTCGTCGTCGTCGTCGTCGTCGTCGTCGTCGTCGTTGTCGTCGTCGTCGTCGTCGTCGTCGTCGTCGTCGTCGTCGTCGTCGTCGTCGTCGTCGTCGTCGTCGTCGTCGTTGTCGTTACGGTTGTTGTTGTTGTTATTATGCTTATTATCAAAAATCTTAATAGGTAAGAAAGTTGTTGTTGTCGGAACAATAACAACATTTCACTTTTCGTTAACCGTCACTTCAGCGGCCATTGTTCCCGGCTGACATTGACAACACATTATTGACACGATTGGCAACACCGGGCCAACGATCATTTCGAGCACGGGCCAGCCGGCTCTAGCAAGACGCTCCACCGAGCGGTAGGAACCGACCGTGGGTTGGTTGCTTTGGAGTCCTCGGATCGACTGACTGACTGACGGAGTATAAGTGAGTAAGAGTACTGGCGCGCAGCTGACTCGAAAGCGAACTCCGGCGCGCTTGCTCCAGCCGGCGGTAGCAGCAGCCTCGCCGCCGCCGCCGCCTCTATCGTTGGGGGTCGCTGCGGTAGCTCCCTTCGCTCCACTCGACTCCGCTCGCGTGTACGGCCACGACCACAGACTCACATAGGGACCACTACACTAGCAAGACAGGACACCATACCACCGCCGTCACTAGTACTACCACAAACACACACTACAGTTACTACAGATCGACCGGGCGACCGGCCACGGTCGCAGCTCCCGGCTGTCCCTTTCTGTTCCGTCCGCCTTTTGTCTGCCTGCTTGCTTTGAACTACTAGTTCAGCAAAACAATGTGCTAGCGAACTTACAGCTACTGTCCCTTGGGGGATAACTAAAGGCTCGCCTCGAGGTTCGCACCCGATTTCGCATCGGCACTAACATACACAGATGTTATTGGTTAGCTTTTGTCCGCTGTCAGCTGTTGCCGCTGCCGCCCCTGTAGCTGCTTTTTGCCGTCCTGGCGCGGGTACGATGAAAAACCACACTAGAATGGATGGACAAAATGCCACGTCGGACACCGCGAAAACTGTTGTACCACGGAACTTTGTGGCCGGTAGCTGTTTGGGCGATCTGTGTCACCAGTTGTTAGCTACAAGCCGAATTAGCAGTCGTGACAATCAGCTTGCTTACCACGTTCACAGACGTCCTGTCCTGCTCTAGGCAAGTCGATATTGCCTTCTTGCGCTATGAAGCTAAGAAAATGATGATGACGACGTTGTGGAGCTTTGACACCCCACACAGACTTGCCACTTGCTTGCCGCTGTGCAGAGCGCCTGATGTGAGCAAGCAGGTTCGCGCGCGTATACTGCTAACTAGAGTCCTCTACTATGAGTAACCATTTGCACGACGACGAAGGCGACGCTGCTAGCAGCTGCAGAATAGCACCGACCATACATCATAAAAATGTTATGCCAGAAAGAGAGAGAAATCAACCATCTTTCATAATGAGCTTAGGCCCCTCCTTTTGGGAAAGGGCGCATCGGGTGCCCTCTCCACAAGATGGCGGCCACCTTGGTGCCGATGATCTGAGGAAGGGAGGCACCACCGGCACGATACGACGCTAGTGCGGACACTGGGCACCGCCGGGTAGCGCCGCCGCCGCCGCCGTCGCCACCGCCGCCGCAGCAGCATCACCAAAGAAATTCTGCGCCAGCGGCCTTACGAACAGCGTCGGTTCTGTTTTGCTCTGATCCTGCTAGCTGAGTTCTTCTTGCATGCGCCTTTCATCAGCGAGCCGGAACGTCTTGAGGCAAACACAGGTTGTTGAAGCAAAGCGGGCACCAAAGGGACGACAGCCGGTTGAGCGAAGGAAGCGAATGCAGGACGTTTTGCCGCCTAAAAGAGGCAACGAGAGAGAGAGAGAGAGAGAGAGAGAGAGGGGAAGAGAAACGAGGAGGTTCCGGCGCTTGTGAGCGCAATAGCAAGAGCTCTCAGGCTAAAGCAAATATAATGAATACAATAAAAACGATGAAAGAGGGAGATAAAATTAACATGTACATTTCGCCTTATAGTCCCACAACCACTGCCATGGTGATATGGCCATGGTTATAAGCATATAAAGGAGGAATATTGGGTTATAGCATGAATCGAGATTCTGAAATGATCGAAGCGACCTTCCGAAATGGACCAGTTGACATCTAAATGTATTACTAGGTTGCTTTGTGTACAAAGACCGCGTGGTTTATGTTCGTTTAAATCGCTGCTCCTTCGCTAACTAATTGTAGTGATAACAGATTAATAAAGGTGAAAATAAAAAGATCAACTATGTTATACAAGAAGGCTCGCGTTAGTATAAATTGAGTTTATTAAATACATGTAAATACGAATAGGCAGTTTAGTGTTTGCTTGAACCACTGATCAGTTCTTCTTCTGCTGCGCCTCTTCACCACTTGTTGATCGCACTTGAATTATATAAGGCTGAGTACGATGGTATCCCATAAAGCTTACGTTTGTTACAGGTCCTTGTTGCTTTTTCAAGTATTCTTTTCGGACACCATGCGCAAGACTGGACTAGCCAATAGTTATTACTAAATTGTCGAGTTACGAAGTGGAAGAGAAGTAGTAACAATAGCATAGAGAAAAGCACTTCTTCATGAAGGCTTGTCGTTTTTTCAGTGTACCGCGTGTATCGCAGCTCAGTCAAGACCACATTTCAGGCAGACGTACCTGGCCATCGCCGTCGCCGTCGACGTCGTTCTTGATCCTGAGTCGAGCTGAAGTTCAAGCACATAGACAAGCAGATCAAAGAGGAAGATGGTAAGCGGACAAGGAAGGAACGATCGCGCATCGCTCATTGGCCGCCTAGTAGAGATGGCCGGCCGCACTCGCTGGTTGGGATCGACGAAGACGCTTAAGATGAGGACCAGTCAGAGTGTTCGTCAGCAGTCAGATTGTAATTTGGGAGCATTCTTCGGCTGCCGCCAAACGGAAGATGGTGTCGGTCGATCAACAGAGCGATCGACCCCGGGTAGAACTAGCGCAACTACGAGTGTTTGGATCCGTTCGACGTTCGCAAACTTCCACAACAACACGCACCACTTCAACGATGGGTAACACCACGATACGTACGCTTTGTCTGGCCGAATTCTGCAGCTTCCCAGCTGAAGAACTTTGCTGCCGCTGTTATCGCAGCAGGTCCGAGTAGCTATAGTTGTACTTGTCGTTGAATAATGGTTGTTGCAGCGACGGCAGATGGTAACAGTCACTTGCTCTCGACTAATATTTTGCCTTCGAATTGCTGCTGATACGATTGCGAACTGCAGGCTTACCAGACAAAGATCCCAAACATTCATTCCACTCGAAACCCAGACCAAAAACGACGACGATGGCCAGGATCGATTCGGAAAGCCGTTCTTACATGATGACGACATTCGACGGGCGAAAATCTGCTGCATAAGCCAGTACATCGGCTGAAACCGTGGAACTGTTACGGGTGCTGCTGCAACTGACGCCTGCCTCTTTTGCTGGAAGTAACAATACGTAGAAATAGCAGGCTCTCGTGGGCTAGCCGTAGGTATCCATCCAGACGTCCAGAGCGGGCATGGTTTTTTTTCTACTATAATACATATAGACGGTATCTCAGCGGCCGTTATAGCTGAGTGGAAGATAGACAGAGATGAAAAACGAGCAAATATAGTCGGTCTACTGTGCAGACGGTGCAGGAAATAGACTAACCACAATCACTGTTGAGACTGGATTACTCAAAGGCTAACTGCGTAGACAGCGGACGGACTCAGCTCTGTGCGGCGGCATACATGGTCGCGCCGCTCCTACTTTGCGACGAACTAACCAAGCGTCGACGAAATTAGGGACGCTTCGCCATCTTCCGAAGAAGATAGCTGGCTCCGCTTGCAAACCGTAATACCTGTCTAGATCCTGTCGGCTATTCAGCCTTACATTCCTGTAATTCGTAGGGTCCCGCTGCAACACCTGCCGTGGAAAGCAGCTGAAGAGAGTGAAAGACTGGGTAAAAATTATGGATTGAGAGAAACAGAAGGAACAATCCTAGGAAGAAGATAACGGGATTTTTCAAACAGTGCGCTTGTACAGCCAACAGGACACTCGCTGAACGGAGTAACAAAGACTTCCAGTTACTGCTTGCCCCGTCGAAGTGGCTATTGGCTAGGATATACGAAATGTGTACGTACGGCTGGCGAAGAGTAGATGTGCAATTTGGACACAGAGGGTCGGTTGATGTGCTAGCTGTTTGACTCGTTCTTTCATCAGAGTTTAGACCGAACGGCCGTATAGCCCGGCACAAGCCTGAAACGCCTGTTCCCAGCTGGCGCGTACGCCAAGCAGCTTCCCCTCCTGAGTCCGTGGCAGCCCGTTCGTGAGTCTCGGCAGCAGAGCCACCATCAGCCTATTCGCTGTTCCGAGAAGCGCAAGTGGCGACCGGGCCACTTGCAGAACCGAGGAACCGTCGAGGGATTCGTGCGTGGCCAGCGACGGCTTCGACGCTCAAGCTCAAGACTCGGCTGAGCTTATCCCGACCAACGCAGTCTCTGGCGTCAGTTACTATACATGGAATAGAAGCATAGCCAGGAAACTTTAACTGAAGCTGCGCGAAGCAGGTGATGGCAGCAGCAGTTGCCTTGGCTTGTGAAGCCGAAGCTACACGAAACGAAGTGCCGGGAATCGCTCTCGCTACTAAGGAAAGCACCAACGATGGCATGCCCAGCGCTTGCTAGCAGCGCTGGCGGTTGGTAAGGAAGGCGGCCCGGGCATGCCGTCATTTGTAGTAATGTATTGTGGCGGCAGCAGTACAGGGAGGTACCGGAAGGAGGCACAAGGCAATGAACAAGACTGTAGGCGGCTGTGCGCGGGCCTTCTTGGAAAACAGTGCGCCTGGTCGCCTTTTTCTCATCCTGCCTATAGAAAGAGTAGTACACAGAGCTCCTGCTCGGCGCCACTGCCTTTTTCCTTGCCCCATCCGCACCCCGCCGGTACAACCCAGCCCTCAACGCCTTGCATCCCCAACCTAAACAGAACATCTTACCATTTGCTAGCGCCATCACCATCGCCCACTTTTGCTGGTACTATCCAAGCTTAATTGGGCTT